TTTTTATTTTAACTTGATGAATTGAATGTTAATTTAGCATTAATTTAATGAATTGAATAATAACTGGATAAATTGAATATCACCAACGGACTTTTGGTCCAATGGTACTCCTTACCTTGTTAAGGTTTTGCTTTTTTGAGATCAAGGATTCAAGCCCCCTCCCCCCCCCCTCCCCCTCCCCCTCCCCCCAAAAAATAAATAAATTGACTATTAATTGGATGAAATTGAACATTAGTTTGATAAATTTAATACTAAATAGTTGAATTTGAATGTTAATTTAATGACTTGAATGTTTACTAGATAAAATTGAATATTTATTTGGTATAAATTTGATGAATTAAATATGAATTGGATGAAATTATATGTTACTCTGGTATTGGTTTGATTAATTGAATCTTTATTGGACGACATTAAATATTAATTTGATGAACTGAATGTTAATTAAATGAATTTCAATATAAATTGTATGAGTTGAATGTTTATATGGTCTGAATTTGATGAATTAAATATTAATTGGATGAAATTGACTGTTAATTTGATGAATTTGAATATTAATTTGATAAATTTTATCAGATTTTTTTTTTGTGGAATCTCGACGGTGCGAGAGAGATTTTATTTAATTAAATAATTAAATTACACCTAGTCAGGGGGTACGTATGTACCTTACCCCTCAATGCAATCTAATTACAAGGAGAATAAAATAAAGAAGGCAAAAGTGCATGCTTAGTACAAAGAATGAAAAATTAAAATCTAAGCATACTGCCTAAATAAAATGAGTGGACCAGCTAATGTAATGCAGAAGATATATCTTGAGCTGCGAGCTGGAGCCGAGAGCTATGAACAGAAGCCGAAAGCAATGGCAGTTGAGTGAATGCAAAACGAGCTTTAGTTGGGATTGAATGTTTATTTGTTGAATTGAATATAAATTTATTATTGATTTGATGAATTAAATGTTTATTAACTAAAATTCTATGTTAATTTGGTGTTGATTTAATAAATTAAATATTTATTGGATAATTTTTTATTTTATTTTGATGAATTGAATGTTAATTTAATTAATTGAATATTAATTTGATGAATTGAATTTTAATATGGTATTAATTTGATAAATTTAATATTAATTGAATGAAATTGTATATTACTTTGGTGTTGATTTGTTAAATTGAATCTTTATTGGATAATTTTTTATGTTAATTTGATAAATTGAACGTTAATTGAATGAATTTGAATATAAATTGGATGAATTGAATGTTAATTTGATAAATTGAGTATTAATCGGATGAGATTAAATGTTAAGTTGATAGTTGAATTTGAATGTTAAGTTGATGAATTAAATATAGAAAATTTGGAGACCAGTCTCCCTTTGTGGACTTATTTGGTGATATGTCCATCAAGAAAACTTGTTTAATATTAAGTCTATTTTAATCTTCATTGCCCAAAATAACCTAATAGTTATGTTTAATTAAAACAAATTTGAAAACTAATCACTCCTAAATTTTAAGAGTTTGACTAACATTAAAATTCTCTCTATCATATCTATCTACTAGTCATAACTCGTGCCTGAAGGCACAAAGAAACATAAAATTCGATATCCTAAAAGATCGGTTTCATTATATTAATTTTTTTTAACATGTGTATACTGTCTTATATGGATTAACTACAAATTAATGAGTGATGTAGTAAAAATTATGTTAAACTACAAATTAATCAAATATTAAATGATTGAACATGTGATAGAAATGAGTGATGTGATATTTTTAGAGGAAAAAATGTAAGGGATAAAAATTCAAGTTACTATGTGTTTTATTATATAGATATTCATAATATATATATACAGTAACATTAAAAAAATAGTAACATTCAAATTCAAAAAAATAGTATCATTTAAACACAAAATAATAACATTGAAACCCAAAAAAATAGTAATATTCAAAAAAAAAAAAAACATTGAATATTAATATTTGAAAAACATGTTCAACAAAAACAGTAATATGAACAAAGTAGTAACATTCAAACCCAAAATCAAAGGAGGAAATCTCTAATTCTTTAACGTCCAAAACAATAACATGAAAAGTAATAATATGCTCAATAAAAAATATTAACATGAAAAGAAAATAATAATGTTGTCAATTAAAAATAATAATAACATGCTAACAAAAGACGTAGTAACATAAAACATTGAACAAAATTTGGGGATTATTTACCCAAAATTCGAAGTTTCTCTTCTCGGCAAACTTGGCAAACGAGCCTTGTGTTCTACTTTAATTATTTTTTTCTATAGAATAAAGAGTTTTAAGGTGGAAGAGTGCACTGGAGTGATGATAAATCGCGCAGAGAGAAAGAAAGAGAGAGTATATGAATTTGAATTTGAATTTAGGAGTGAATTAGGGGATAATAATTCTCAATTTAGAAAATTAATTTAAATATACTTTTAAGGTCTTCAAGGTTTCTAACGTTCTATAATTTAACAGAATAACACTATTAAGAATAGTTTTGAGATTTAAATAAATAGTGGATTTAAGTACTTCTTATTAAGATAAAAAGTGAATTTATCACCAAATAAGTTTTTTTAACGGATTCAAGTCATTATATGTTCATTAAGGAGGATTCAACCCCAATTTTCACATTAGATATTTATTAGATGAAATTGAATGTTGATTTGAAGAATTGAATGTCAATTTGGTATTGCACTTAATCATTCATACTTTTGATATTTAAAATATTATATTCAGACCCCTTAAAGTTTGTACTTGCCGTCAAATATCTGTTAGTATATCCGTCAATAAATTACACCCACACCCTTTGAAATTTATAAACGTATAATACTTATACTCCTAAATTTTAAAATGTTATACTTAGAAAAAAAATACTCCAATCAAATATAAAATCTCAAATATTTTAAATTTTACAATCAATATTTATACTCTGTTGTATCATTTATTCAAAAAAAATCAAAAATAAAAAAATCATTTTTTTCTTAAAAACTCGTAATTATTATATAATTATACTATCTATTAGAATAAAACTAAAAAATCAAATTAGGAGTCTAAGTCATTCATAATATAACATAAATTTTATAACAAAAATTCATGTTCTATTATGTCATTTATTGAAATAAAATAAAAAATCTAATTTTTATTAAAAATGTATAATTAGTATACAATTATACTATCTATTGAAATAAAACTAAAAAATTAAATAAGAGGTCAAAGTGTAATTGACACAATATATTCTAACTTTAATTAGGATAATTTGGTAGACTAATTTAGCCGTTTAAACGACCAAATTAAATTCCAATAAATAGTGTAATTGTATAGTAATTATCACTTTTTTTTAAGGAAAAAACAAATTTTTATTTTTAATTTTATTTCAATAAATGTCATAATATAACATAAATTTTGGTTGTTAAATTTAAAATATTTAATATTCTATCTTTAATTAGAGTATTTTTGATCTAAGTATAACATTTTTAAATTTTAATCAACTTGCAATGAATTTTAATCGTCACGAATTTTGATACATAAAAAATTTTTAATCAAGAACGAATTTTAATAAGTAGAAAAATATAAATTTTAATTGACTTGAAACGAATTTTAATCGGTACTAACAGCTCAGGTAAAGCTCAAATCGATTCAAATTTTAATACGTAAAAAAGAATTTTAATAGGCTCCAATTTTAATACGTAAAAAAAAAATTTAATCAACTTGAATTTAATTTTAATCGGCTCAACTTTTAATATGTAAAAAAAAAAAATTTTAATCAGCTCAAATTTTAATATGTAGAAAAATAAATTTTAATCAATTATAATTTTATATTGAAGGATTGTTTGAAATTTATGTAGGGACAATTTTAGTATTTTAGATGAATTATTTTTGTTAGAAATGGTAGTTTTACTATCGGAGGTGTCAATGATATTTAAATATACATTAGAAGGGGTGTGAGTGATGTTTTAAATAATACAGGGGATGTCTTTGAAGATATGGTAATTAGAATGGGTGTAACCGAAATTTTTCCAAAAATTAAATATAAATAATATATTTTTTAAAATTTAAATATTTACCTTGTTGCATCAAGTTTAGTTCATAGCGCGCAACAACGATTCCATTTGTCTCTTTTATTCAACCAAGAGTACAATTATTTAAAAAAAAAAAAAAAGATGATTCAATGGCCTCTATTAGTTTTGAACTAGATTTGTCATACCAAAGTACCATCCTGAATGGTTTAATTCTATCTCTCAGCAAATGGAATCGTAACTATCTAGTTGAATCGATTGTCAATTTCTTTAATTCTAAAAACAGAAGGCATTACTGACATTAGAACTAATCATTTGATAGTATTCCTTGCCTTCCCATTAATTTTGGTTGGGTTACACTTGTATGATGTTATGTATTGCTCTTCTGTTTTTTTTTTTAGTTGGTTGGTTGGATCTCTTGGCCCTGATTGTTACTTTCTATTGCCCTTTTTTTCTCCTACAATTTTTGATTCATCAATTTACCTGTGATGTAACAGTATGTATCATTGTGCATGTGGGCATGAGCACAAACTGTGCAGTGATATGTGTCATACACCCATCTCTTTTTTATGTTCCGATTATGCCATAAAACCTTGGCTTATCCAATAGGCTTAGTTTGTGAGTGATTGTATGCATCCGAAATCCGCCTTACAATCAGAGTCTAAAGAACATGCAATTGAAACAATCTTATGGTATCTACAGAAAAAAAAAATGTCAGTCACTTGTACTCTCTTTATACATAAATGAAACTTTCTTCATCAAGGAAATCAATCTTGTGAAAGCATTAAGAAACGGAAATATTGAATCCCTCTTGTCATCCTAACAGCTAAATCTATTGTGGGGGTTTACCAACAACAAACTCATCAGCAAAGAGTTTATGAATGCACACATAATCACATGCACACACTTCGCAGATATAGATTTAACATTAAAGCATGAAAGGGGCTTGACTGGTAGAAAAGCTATCCGCTAGCTGATAATTGTGCTGATGGTAACACATAACCCAAGTGTAGCCGTTGGTTCTGTCACCAGTAAACTGTACAATCAATTATTTCTAGGAAAAAAAAAAGAGCGTAAATAGAACTTTGAACTAATGTCAAAACTCTGTTTTTTCTCCTACAATGCTGACTGGAAAATCATCTCTGCAAGTTCCTGCAACATTTTTACAAAACTCAACGTCAATTTTACTGAAGATGTCACCAAATACAATCAGTAAATGAAGAACATAAACAGAGCACTGGAGCAACGATTGCCCAGCCCTATGGATTGCATGTAGTACCTTTATGGAAATAATGTCAAAAAATGAACAACCAACAGATATTCATATGTTGCATAGCTAGTCAAAAGAAGGAAGAGAAGATAGCAGGAAGAAGGGGGGGAGGCAAAAGCATGGTTCTTAATTTGCAAATTGCAATATTAAGAACACAATTGGTTTTGCACCCCCAAATCCCAATTTTCCTTCATATTTTTTGCGAAATCAAGTAAATTAATGTGTTCAAACATGAAAATAATATTAAAATCCTGTCCTCCTAATTCTGAAAAGGAATTTTTCTTAATTTTCCTCCAATTTCTGACACCACCACCAGCCAAATATTTCTTCAGTGTTAATTAGGGAAGCTAGTCAAAAGGAAAATTTTGATGAATATTAGTGATGTTAAACCATCAGTTGTCTCGTAATTAGTTTTACACGTGCTAACTTTGTCGCCAATGAGAATCTTGATTACCAAAAGCAGGTCCATTGTACTAATACCAAATACATTTGGTTTACCTGCTTAGCAGAAGGAACTTTGGGTGCTCCCCATTCCATGGCCTTCTTCTCAAGGGTTTCAAAGTCAGCCTTTCCAGCCTGTCAAAAAAGCATCATTCCATACAACCGATTACACAAAAAGGAGACATAAATGTTGAAATGAAGAAGAAAAAGGTAAAGCAAGGGGATTACTTCTACTTGGGCCCCGATTTCTGTGTCAAAACTCTGATATCTCTTGCTAACAAGCTCATTTAAAGAACCATCCTTTTCCCAAGACGAGAATCCAATTTAGTATGCAATCAAGAAAAAAAAAATTACTTTAGGAAAAACTTTAAATGTGTAAAAGAGAGAAATATAACCTCAATCAGCTTGGCAGCGTTTCGAAGTCCACGTGCAAGGGTATCCATACCGCCAATATGAGCAATGAATAAGTCGTCCACATCCGTGCTCTCCCTCCGCCTAAGTAAATAATCATCCAGTTAGCAATGTTAGCTCCAACCTAAGTAAACCAAAAATTGTTACAGAAGGTTTTATCAAGATAAACTCCCTGGGGTTCTAACAATTTTGAAGGCCACCGAGTTTCTCAATCAAGAACACAACGCTCTTGATAAAAAATGAATCCACAATGCAAACCTAGTCTCATCCTCAAGTCCTATGACAAAAACTACTGAGATCATTGAAAATTTCTTTTTAAGGACGTACACAGCAGCTTACTCAGCCCCCCCTCTCCCTCTTGCACGGGGTAGGGAAGAAACAAAACACAACAACAAATGAAACAGAACCCAATTCTTGCACCAAAAAACAAATCCAAAAAAAAAAAATAAACCAAAAGCAAAAAAACTATGTTCTTATTTTACACCTGTAGTATTGGAAAAAAGTACTCCAACAAAGGTAAACAGGTAAACTTAAAGAAGTATCAACTTGTCCTAACAAACTTCACCAAATCTAACATTTTTGTCGCTATAAAAAAGTACACAATACTTCATTCCATTTGAAAGAAAAAATAATAGTCGGTTAGTTCCCATTAATGGGAGTCTAGATGGGACAGATTGGTACAAACTCGAGCTTTGACATTATTTGCACAACGTGGTCGCCCTTAGTTTTGAACCCACATAAAAAGGAAATGTGAGAGAACACACAAAGAAAACACATTAAGAGGAGGACGGAACTTACAACTTGGCATCAAAATTGAATCCTCCAGGTGATAACCCATTCTGTCAATTACAATAAAATCAACAAAACCTGTTAATAAAGTCTTCAGACAGTCTTCTGATATATTACAAAACTAGAGAGTACAAGATCTTTACATACGTTTTTTATGACACTGAGCATAACCAATGTTGCTTCACTTACATCCATCAAAAACTGGTCTGTATCCCAACCTGTAGAATTAACAAAAGCTATATGTTATAACTTCCAACCCACAACATTATGATGTTTAGTTTCTAACTACAATGGCAAAGATAAGTTTTTTGCCAAGCAGATTAGCTGTAATACCAATCTGAGGATCCCCAGTGTTTGCATCTATGTTACCAAGTAAACCATTGATTCTTGCAGTTTCAAGCTCATGATGGCAGCTGCAAAGCAAAAATGAAACAACTTTGTTAGAAAACGTTCTCAATTATACTTTTGTGGAGCTTAAACAAGTAAATTTCTCACATATCTAGCCAGGCCAAGTTCAGATGTGCCAATGGAAACAAATCCCACTTGAAATTGTAATCCAATGTATATCCAACATTAAAATGTCATCCAAAAGCATAGAAGATGTGGAAAGAAAACACAAATATGCTAATTGCTGAATAAACAAACCTACAGAATTTGATGACATTATAAAGTTACTCATTGGACATACAAAAATACACTAATATATTAGTTTGCTAAAACCGTACTCAAGCAACACACAAGCATGTGTACATACGCGGGCGTGTATGTACACACACATGTATGCGCGTGTATTTCTCAGCAACAAACGCGCGCGCACGTGTGTGTACATTTAACCAGATTGATCAGTTTGCATCTTAACAAAATTTTATATAAGCATTCAACTTATAAACCTCAGAAACAGGATTCTCGGCTTCAGAGTCGAACAGACCAATCTGATTCAAAGCCGTGATCGGGTTGAGTATAATGTATATACCACTGGCTGTAGTATGCTTTGATTACTACTGAGGGTGAAAAAAGAAAAGCAACAGACACTCGAGAAGATAAAGAGAGTTGAGAGACAGAACATTACAAACCTGTGACCAGATAAGGTTGCATGATTGCATTCAATGTTAAGTTTAAATTCTCCTGCAAAAGGAAATGGGCATAAAAGAGGACAAGAAATTAACAGTCAAACTCAAAATAATGAAGTATTCTATGCAAAGATTACATTTCCCTGTTTTACAAAATTTTGTCCTCAAGGTATGTTATGGACTTCAAATTATGTATGTGCATCATTAAGAGAGGTTACGAGAATAGGATGGGATTAGTAAAGAGCAAACGAGATCCAATGAGAATTTGTGCAAAACCACCTTGTCTTTGACATAAAAAAATAAGGTGGCAATAATGAAATGGACGTCTTATCTACCGGAACAAGAAAGATATGGATCAAGTATTCAAAACTCAATCATAAAGAGTGCAAAACAAGACTTACACACAACAGAAGAGAAGCATGAAAAAAGGACCACGTTGGCCACTCTTTTAAAGTATCAGATTTGCAAATGAAGTTAGCAAAACATCATTTCTTCCCCACAAAGGAGACCACCTCTTGAATCCAACAAACTAAGTTGGAATTATTTGAATATAAATTCCTTATACTACTTACATCTCCGTGATCATTATCTGGTGGTAGAAAGTTATGATCCATTCTTTTGTTCCTTTGGATTATTAGTGGATCATGTGAAGTGTAAATAGAACTTGCATCCCACATCAAATGATTAGAACCACCTAAAGTTAGTTTATGGGTAAAAGGGGTCTTTTCATTCATTGCCAATTAGTTTTGGGTTGGATGTTCTAACATAGTATCAGAGCTAGGGCTTAGGTAGTCAATGGACTAAATCTCTTACCCAATTGTCCATTTTTTGGTAGTCCCATATGTGACCTTGGATCCCACGGGAGAAAGAGTTTAAAGAGAGCTTGTATCCCATATCAAAAAATTTGGGTCGTTAAAACTATGCTTGTATCCCATATCAAATAATTTGGGTCGTTAAAACTATGGTCTCATCTCAAAACGCACTACAAAAAGATTTATCAAAACTAAGAATATCCCAAACCCCAGAAATATAAAAATTAGAATAAACGCTTTATATAAATATGGCTCAATAGTTTCCATAATATTCCAAGAAAGCACTATGCTAAAGTAACCAAAAAATAGAAACGGCTTACCTAACTTAAAAGATAGTCAACTGTTACAAAGAACAAACATAAATAAAATGGTAGATAGCACAGCCCAATGCTTGCTCTGAGGAATTTCTTATTAAATTAATTTTTGTATTGAGGAATTTGAATGCAACAAGGTAACAAAAGGTTACAAATAACAGAATAAGTGAGAGACTTGAGGACAATGGATTTCGTAGATCACCTATGAGGCCATATTTGCGCAAGAAATTAGCTGAAGTTGCAGCATCCCAATCATATCTGCCATCATTGATAAATGTAAGACATACAGCAAATTATGAATGATGATTAATTCTGATTAAAAGGTAGTAAAGAAACATACTGGTGTTTGGTAGGTTCTTGAGGCTTGGGTTCAATGAGGAGTGTCCCTGGAGAGAACCACAGACGAGAAAATTATTTCTGATAAAATCTTCTGGTCAAGTGATAAGAGCAATATTGTTGAACGATGATGAGTCACAAGGACTCAATGGACAGACATATAATTAAATCCTACCAAAAGGTTCCAAAATGATGAATCTTGATTTAGATGATGTGATTTTTAGGTTGAGTACAGTAACATAAAACTATTATCGTAGTGCTTTACAAAATTAAATAAAGAAGTACCATTAAATCCAATCTTCTTCTTGTAGGCTACAGCAGCTTCAAAAAACCTTGCCTGAGAGGAGCAGATGAAAAAATAAAGCAAAACATGTTTAAGGACATAGTCAGACGACTCAAGACCAAGCACATGAATAGAATTAAAGCCTCGGTAAATAAATCCTATCACAATCCTGTGTAAATAGTTAAGTTCATGACAAAATGACAAAAGAAAAGAAAAGAAAAGATAAGAAAAGGAAGGGAAACATAAGTCATAACTAAGGAAGGAAAGTACAAAATGTGCAGACAAAAAGGTTATGCTGAAGGTATGGCATAATTGAAAATCTACTCAAAAATTTAGTGATCCTACCATGTGATCAAGCTCTCTTTCCATATCTGTGTTCAAGAGAGTCTGATAACCCTCCCGACCACCCCAAAAGACATAGTTTTCTCCCCCGAGATAATGTGTGACCTGTAAAATGCGTAAATTGGCACATTCAATGTCGGATAGATTCATGACCTTATAGAACTAAGTTATCTGTGCCTGCCAACCAGTCATTTTATGTCACTAGAATTACATGTACTAAAAACCCACCTCCATGGCTTTCTTGACCTGAGCTGCGGCGTGTGCATATACTCCTAATTCAGGGCTGCAAAGCAAGAACAGGAAGTATGAGTCCATAATTACAGGATATGAAAGGATTAATCACATCCAACCTAGATAGAAGCATAATGTACCTAGTAGCAGCACCATGCATGTAGCGAGGATGCAAGAACAACTGAGCTGTACCCCACAAAGGACGAATCTTGGTCCCCTAAACAGTGAAATCAAATAGTAAGAATAAGAGAAATGGAATTAGAGAGTAAAGGACAAAACCACACAACTTTTTGGAACGAGTCCTTTGTGTGTAAAGTTGAGCCTTGAAACAAAGGTCACAGGATCATGATCCTCACTTGTATATAGATTTAAGGAAAAAACATATCACACTTTTTTGTCAGAAAATATTCCAACTTTAGCTGGCTCTTTGCCAGTGGGTATTACCTGAAGCTCTTTGGCAAGAGCCACCACTTCATCCAAATTTGCATTAGCTTCCTGTGCCAAATAAAATACCCTAGTATCAATTTCTGTATGGTAAAATTGGCAATCGTCCCATCGCATCAAAAAATAATAAAAAACCACCACCTTGTAGCCAGGTATACCACTGTCTATTAAGGGGAACAAAACTAAGAAATTTTTAACATATGGTTCTGCTTTTGATGCATTCAACAATTTAGCAACAGATTGTCTCCTTCCTATTTACCTCTAGCGTGTCACCATCGGGAGCAATGTCTCTATCATGGAAGCACCACCTGTCAACTCCAAGCTTGTCTAAAAACTCAAAGTTTGCTCTCACTGCATCATCAATTTGTATGAAACAAGCTTAGTTTCAAATCTCCAAAAATCAGAAGAACTAGTGAAACATGGGTAATTTAGGTTCTTCTTACTCCTCCTCTTGGCCATATCCAATGAATTGGTACCATCTTCCCAAGGCCACAACTTGGTATCTGCACCAAATGGGTCACCTCCTGTCCCACGGAATGTGTGCCAAAATGCAACACTGAATCTCATCCAATCCTATGGTGAATGACAAATTCTTTTTGTTAACCACCCTTTTATATTACTTGTTTAAAAATTACATAAAAAAAACAACTAGAAAAATCAAACACAAACCTTCATTTTCTTCCCAAGAATCTCCTCTTGAGCATTATACCATTTAAATGCAAGTGGATTCTTGCTAGAAGGGCCCTAACATACAAAAGAAACAGCACACTTATGGAGTTGCACAAACTTAAATAAAAAACATTGAATGTCAATGAAGCAGTTTATCTAACATGCATCTCATGTTTTCATTTTCCAAGATAGCTTTTACCTCATACTTAATCTTGGGAATGCCAGGAAAGAATTCCCCTTTCCATTCACCCGTACCAACGCCACATTCACTACCAGTATCTGCAGGACAAGTCGGTGGACCCAAAGAAATCTGTATGGAAGATAAATTAACACATAAGCACTTTAGCTGTATATGTACACATACATGCGTATCAAAATGAGCAAAGAGAGCTTAATTACCGCTGTAAAAGAGACTACACATAAACACAGAAGAAACAACCAGAAGTTCCCAGCCTTCATTTTTATCATCTCAAGCAAAGTGTCTCTGCAACCAAAAGACAAAAGGAACAAAATTCAATCACACACTAGATAACTGAAATATGGGGAACCATATGATATATTGCCTTAAATTTGACATCAATTCATACACATTATCATATTAGCCTACATAAATCATAAGTTCATAACCATGAATAACTGAAATCATATTAACACCAAGTAAACATTATAATGCCACCTTAAGATGATATATTCAATCAGTTTAATCATTAGATTAATTGTGGCTTGGTAGGCCTTGGTTTGGTGGTGGTAGGTTGATCTAAAACTTAAGTACCAAAACCCAAAACTTAATTTAGGCCTTAGATCATCAAAGTTCTTAGAAATTAAGAGGTCGGTTTTGGTAATTTACATGTGAGAGTTCGAGTCTTTATTCACGTTGCTCAAAGAGAGTACGGACAACAGCAACCACATGAAAGAAAGCCCAAGTTCTCGACAGAATAAAAGAAACCAAAGCAACAATTGGACTTATCACACACTCATATAAAAAAAACTCATTAGCCCAAGGCTACACCAACAAAAAAAATTGATTTCTTTTATTTAAGCTAAACAGAAAACAACTTGTCTTCATGTATAGAAAAAGCATAATTGGAAACCTAAATAAAAATTTCAGGGAAAAAGGGGAAAAAATCATCTCATTAACCCAACCATAACTTCTAATCAAATTACAATTACCTAACTTGCATATACACATACATATGCAGAAAGACCTACGCTAACAAATGAAAAACTATTCTTCAACGACACCAAGAACATATATTGAAAAGAATAAATAACAAAAAATTGATCACAATTGCAACAAATAAACAAAGGTCGGTAGATTTGCGTTAATAGCAAATCATCTCACATCGGCAAGTTTGGGACCAAAAACCAAAACAACACTCCAATAACCATAGCTTCAAGAAAACAATTTTGATAATGAGTTCTGATAATGCACACAACTAACAATGGAATCGACACCGAAACACTTTGATGCTTTGCAAATAAGAAAGCTTATTTGTATTCTCAAACACACTGACCCAAAAAAAAAAAGATTAGTGACAGAGAGAGGAAGACAGAGAACGGGAGACAGAGAGGTGGGGTGAGAGCGACAGAGAAAGGGAGATACTTGGATTTGGGATATCTGGGCTGACGTCGTCACTGGTGGCGGTGGCAGCAAGGTTGATTGCAGCTTAAGTGGTGTTACCGTGGTGGAGAATGGTTAAGTGAGAGAGGGAGGGGAGGAGATAGAAGGAGGGAGAGAAAAAAGAGATACCTTTGGTTGCCGCTGGGGGTCGCCGGAGTCGCTGGTGTCGTCTTTGGCGTGGCTTGCGGTGGTGCTGGACAGAGGAGAGTCAGGGAGATGGAGACTGGCGCAACCGGACAGAGAATAGAGATACGGAGAGAGAAGATAATTTTTTAAAGCAATGGAATTCAATCAGGTAATATATAGATAATTATAAGTAATGAGCTCAAAAGGTTTTAGAAGTCTTTTATAAAGTGTTTAAAGGAAGTTGGAAATCATATAGGTATAAATTAGATATAAGTATATAGGTAAGTATAATTAATTTTACTATAATAATTAAAATAAAATAATAAATTAAAATTTTGTTTGCACATACTAACATATAATATTAAAAAATAAATTAAAAAAAATTAGATATAAATTTAGAAGTCTCCTACAAACTCTTTAAAGTAAGTCGAAAATCAAATAAGTGTAAAGTAGGTAAAAATATATAGGTAAGTATAATTGATTTAATTATAATAATTAATGATAAATTAATAAATTAAATTTTTTTTTGCACATACAAACATATAATATTAAAAAATAAATTTAAAAAAATTTAAACGAGATTTCTCAGACCAAAAAAAAAAAATATATATATATATATATATATATATATATATATATATTTGATATAATATTAAAAAAATAGATATATTTGATATAGTATTAAAAATTAAATTTAAAAAAAAATTCAGTCTATAAATGGGTCAATCTTTATTGGTCCATGTCCTTATCCATAAACAGAGCTTTTCGGGAAAAATAAAGTAAGAATGAGGTGGCAACGTTAGCTTTTTTTGTTTGTTTGGATTTGGATGTCCCTCCAAGTCAGCCGCGTGTCAGCAATTATCCTCCTAAAAATTGTAATATTTTTAGATTAATGTTACGTGAATTTAAAAAATAGATTTAAAAATTAAATTTGATAATTTTAATCATTAATTTTATTATGGATCCTAGTATTTATTAGGACCTATTATCTATTTAATGGTTGAAATTATTAAATCTATTTTTTAAATTCATTTAACATTACTCATATTTTTAACTAGCTTTTTTTATACCTATGCGATATAGACGGCCTTTCCCTTTTTTGGGGGTTTGGCTCCCACCCAATTCTATATGAATCGGAGGATCCTCCTTTAGCTTACTAAAACTTGGTACCTTATTTTTTACTCTTTTCGTTCCTAAATATCTGTTATTTTACTTAATTTTTTTTGTTCCACAATATTTGTTTTTGTATGAAACCAAAGCATAATTAATATTTTTTCTTTCAAATTTACCCTTATCTCTGTTTTTCAATAAGTGCTTAATAGATTAAGTGTTGACTAAGTGTCTTTCATATTTCTTTCATTCCCAATACGTATTGAATAAGAGTATTTTAGTCTTGTGTAATTATTTTTTACTCATACTAGAGTTATTTAATAACTTCGTTAATTCTTGTGCAAAAACTTTAAACGACAGATATTTAGGAACGGAAGAAGTATTTTTTTAAACGGCTCACATTTAAAATCTCATTCTTTAATTAGATTTCTCCGTTAATTGACGGATCAGGAAATCCAATTCATAACTTCTTTTAAAGCAGGGTTAATCTCAACTTGTATCATAAAAATTTATCTAAATCTTAATTTGTACTTTCAAAGTTTAAAAATATCAATTTATACCTTAAAAGTATAAATTTGTATCAATGTACTTCAAAGATGAACTATAATTCATTTTGTGGTTTAAAAAAGTTTAAACTAATTATAAATTACACCCTTAAAGTTTAAATATTTCATATTTATGATTCAAAAAAAATTTCTACCATTAATGCTCCTTAAATAACTTTCAATTATATCGTGTCATTATATTTTCGTATCATGTTTGAGTTAGTAAAAAAAATATTTTTAATATTTAAAAAAAATTATAAATTACATATTTTTGCTTACAATACTTGTTAAATAGTTATTTTCTGTATATACTTAGACACTAACTTTTGACTGTTCGATCAAATTAAAGTTAGATATGAATAATACAATTATAAACAAAAAATAGTTATTTAATGGGTATTATATGCAAAAAAATAGGTATTTTTATAATTTTTATAAAATATTAAATAGTATTATATAAATTGTCGTGAATGTGAAATATACGATACAACTCAATTGACTCGACACGAAAATATTTTGTGTTAAAAATATTTTTTTATCAACTCGAACACAACACAAAAATGATACGACATGACACAAAATAATACAATACGACACAATTGAGAGGTATTTAACGAGTATTACTAGATGAAATTCTTTTTTAATCATAAATGTGAAATATTTAAACTTTGAAGGGGATCTAGGTCCTACATGATGACCATCTGGTCTTAACCCTGATGGTAGCCAACTATCAGGTTAGGGGGATCCTAGTTGACAGTGGTAGCTTAACCGACATTCTATTCATGATAGCCTACGATAGTCTTCACCTCAGTAGGGAGAGACTGGAGCCTGTCAGGAATCCCCTAGTTGGCTTCTCAAGAGAAAGAGTTCATCCCTTGGGATCTATCACCCTGCCTATCACAGTAGGAGCTACACCAAGGAGCTCTACTGTTATGGTAAATTTTCTTATACTTGACTATCATTTTGCTTACAATATAATACTTGGACGCCCTGCCCTCAACACCCTTAGGGCAGTACCATCAACCTACTGCCTTCTCCTCAATTTTCCAATCTACAATGAGATTGGGGAGATCAGAGGAGACCATATCTCAGCCAGAGAGTACTATGTGGCCTCTATGAGAGCCAGGAGACCACACGAGACTCTCTAAGTCGAAATGTTTAACCCCAGAGATGACAGTACCTTGGAGAGAAATGAACCAACAAAAAAACTTTAGCTAGTGGTAATAAATGACAACCTTCCAGAGATGAGAGTTTACATAGCTCCTCAACCCCCAGGAACAGGCATCTACCTTAATTGAATTCCTCATACGGAACATGGATGTTTTCGTCTGGTCCTACAAGGACCTGGAGGGCATCGACCCCGAGGTGGCCTCCCACCGACTCAACATTGACCCCAGGTACAAGCTAGTCCGCCTAAGGTTGAGGAACGTGAGTACCGAGAGGGGGCAAGCCATGGTGAAGGAGGTAAACAAGCTAATGACGAATGGGTCAGTAAGAAAAGTAGCCTACCCAAACTGGCTATCCAATGTAGTGATGGTGACAATGGCCAGTGGGAAGTGGCGCCTCTGCGTAGACTTCATAGAACTTAACAAAGCTTGTCCCAAAGATAGCTACCTTCTCCCACTTATTGACCTCCTCATTGATGCCATCACTGGGCACGAGCACCTGAGTTTTTTGGACGCCTACTCCGGGTACAACCAGATCAGTATGTTCCCTCCAAACCAGCAGAAAACCTCATTCATCACCCCGAAGGGCACCTATTGCTACAGGGTGATGCCCTTCAACTCAAAAATTCTGGAGCCACCTACCGGTGCCTCGTCACAATGTGTTTGAAGGCCATTTTGGAAAACGATGGAGGTCTACGTAGACGACATATTGGTAAAGAATATTGTTGCGACAGACTATGTGACGCACCTGCAGGAGACCTTCAACGTACTAAGAGCCTATAGGATAAAGTTGAATCCTTAAAAGTGCACTTTTGACATCAGTTCAGGAAAGTTCTTAGGCTTTATGGTCCACAAAAGGGGTATTGAAGCCAAATCCAGACAAAATCAGAGTCATTTTGGAGATGAAATCCCTCACCTCAACAAAAGAGGTCCAACGCCTTAATGGGAGGATTGCAACCCTCAACAAGTTTGTCTCTAAATCAGCAGATAAATGCTTGTCTTTCTTTAAAATCCTCTGCAGATCATTTCAGTGGAGCCCAGATGCAGAGGAGGCCTTCCAAAAGCTTAAGGCCTACCTCGCCACACCACCTCTGCTTTCTCATGCTGTACAGGAGAGATCATCTACCTTTACCTTTCCTCTTTACCCTTTATCGTAAGCTTTGTCCTCCTCAGAGAGAATGGAGGCATCCAAAAGCCCGTATACTATGTAAGTAGGGCATACCGACGAGTAGAGGTGAAGTACTCTGAACTTGAAAATTTGGCTTTCGCCCTTGTCAATGCTGCTAAACGTCTACACCACTACTTTCAGAGTCATGCCATCGTGGTTGTCACAGATCAACCACTAAAAAGAGTCTTGGGGAAGCTTGATGTCTTCGGCCGACTACTTAAGTGGGTCGTCGAGTTAAGCGAATTCTATGTGCAGTACCAGCCCAGGGCTGCCATTAAAGCACAAGCACTTGTCGACTTCGTGGTCGAGTTTACACTGCCACAAGAGTCCCAAGAGGAAGTATCAGGTGGCCCTGCGCCCACTTGCTCAGTACACATAGACTCCACCTGCCAGGAGACTGGACTAAAGGCTACCTCAGGAGGACTGGACAACTCGGAGAAGGGACCCTAGCCTGAAAAGCCTGGTGCACTGTCACTTTACCTAGGGAGCCACCCACTTGGCCTGGGGTGCCGCCCACTATGCCTGGGGCGCTGCCCTCTCCGCCTGCCTCACACCTCTCTCTCCAGGCGTCGCCCAATAACCCACTACCTCCTACCTCTTCGATGTCAGCGTCGCTCTTAGAGTTGACTCCCTCTCCACCACTTACTATAGCAAGCTGGAGACTCTACGTGGATGGGTCCTCCACCAACGAGGGTAGGGGAGCCAGACTAGTGTTGATCAGCCCTCATGGTGTTCCACTAAAGTACGCTGTCTCCCACCACTTTTCCATATCAAACAATCAAGCTGAGTATGAGGCTCTCATATCAGGCTTAAAACTGGTGTTAGAGATGGAGACCCTCTACCTGACAGCCTATAGTGACTCTCAACTCATAATCAACCAGGTAAAGGGAAATTTTGAAGCGAAGGAGGAAAGGATGCAAGAGTACCTCTCGGTGGTCCAGGCTCTACTCATGAAGTTTACCTACTTCTAGATCCACCATGTGCCTCGAGAGGAGAACGTCATGGTAGACGCCCTCGCCAAGTTCGCATCTGCCAACATATTCATGGGCCTAGTGCTGACAGGTCACTAGTTCGAGCCCAGTACCTCCAAGACAGAGGAAGACGATGTCTACTGTACATCCTTGGAGTCTAACTGGATAACTCCCATCCGAGCTTACCAAGAGGAGGGCACTCTCCCTGACAACCAAGTAAAAGCCAAAAAGTTGAGGATGAGAGCATCAA